AAGACGTTTATCAGATGTTTGTACACAGCAGATGCTTTCCAGATGAAGCGATCTTTAATAGATCTTTAACAGACATCTTACAGATGTGCGTGCGCTGTCTGGGCACACTGACCCTCTGATCTTGCAAACTGACTGCAACAACATCTTTCAACTACTTACTGTGTTTCGTGTTGTTGGTTTACACAATGCTGAATCAGTTCTGTCTTCCTCCTGTGTCTTGACTGCATTAACAATAATCACAAATTATAAAGTTTCATTATTAATGGAAATTAACTGTCTTAAAATTATAAATATTCGTAAATATTAATTGCTTGCTCCCCTGACCTGTTTTTCTACATTTCTTGCAGATGCAGCAGATCACGACTGCAGCTACAATCAACAGAGATCCGGCCGCGATCAGCACAATGTACAGTAAAGGTAGGACCTGATCTGTAATAGACAAAATGAGACAGAGTGACTGAATCTGTCTGATCTACAACAAACTTGAAACATCAGCTCTGTATAATTAAGAGTAAATCAATATTAATATCCCCATACCTGCAGATGTGTGACAGAGTTGAGTGATGTCCAGATGTTGAGTCTGGCTGCTGATGGGATTGTTGAGCACACAGCTGTAGGTGTTTACATCCTGATATTCCACCTCCAGAGGTAGAGAGAGACTAATGCTGAGATCAGACACACTGATGCTGGACAATAAACTGTTTCCTTTGTACCAGGAGAGAGTCACATGACTCACATTCACGGCTGAACACACCAGTGAACATGATGAAGATGAGTTACTGCTGATGACAGGAACAGGCAGAACACCATAGACAGTGAGACTGAAATTCTTAATCGCACGTTTGATGTCTAGTTTATAACGTCCAGCATGCTCAGTTCTGGTGTTTGTGATGGTCAGAGATCCAGTTTGATTGTCCAGCTTCAGTCTGTCTCTGAATCTCCCATCAAGAGCATCATCAAATACAGTCATGCTGTCAGCCATTACATTGATTTCAGCTATTAAAGTGTTTTCAGGCCCAAACCTCCACAGAATCAGATCATCATCCATCATTTCAGTAAGATCAGAGTTTAGAGTGACTGAATCTCCCTCCATCACTGACTGAATTCCATTTGTTTTAGCAGGAAACACACCTGAAGAACATGAACAGGAACATTAAGACCACTGTTGGTTTTCAAACCAGGGGCCAGGTGGACTGGTTGGAGATGCACCCTGTGATAAGACTAGGCTGGACATAAAGACATAGGCCTGAACTTATAAAGGTTCCAAAAAGATATTTTTTGCAGCAATGCCTTAAAAGAACCCCAAAGTTCCCCAAAGAGCCTTCCATTGGACACTTCTTAAAATAACCATGTTTCTTAGAGTAAAGAACGCCTATTAAGAACCTTTATTTTTAAGAGTGCAATACCTGTTGCAGCATCTAGGCATAGCGCACATCTGAGACTAAATCTTGCGCTTAGTCTAAGGTAGGCATAAATTGAAAAGTCACAACTGCTTTGTACAAGATTATTTTCTTGTCTGTGAGTTAATTGTGAATTAATTATTGTGGACATG